AGAGAGAGAGAGAGAGAGAGAGAGAGAGAGAGAGAGAGAGAGAGAGAAGAGAGAGGAGAGAGAGAAAGGAGAAGAAATGAAGCAAATTCATAAAATTGTTGATTTCGATGTTCTTTATCATAAAAAAAACGGTAGATCAAATGCAAGTTGAATATTTAATGCTCCAAAATCGGAAATGTTTAGTTTCTATCGCGTTTTCTGCGTTTTTTTAAACATAAAAATAAATCAAACAAAATGAAATCAAATTAAAATGAAATGTGTAAAAATTTAAAAATAATGAAAATAAAATAAAACAGGATAGCCAGTTACCGCGTTTCCATCCGTGCCGTTATAAATAAATTTTAAAAGAAAAAACAAAACTGATTGAACATAAGTAAAGTTGAACAAGAAAGAAAACATACAAATTATATCGCGTCGTTCATTTTAGCTTTCTTCCGGTGAACGAAACAAAGTGCTTTGTAAACAAATATCTTAACGTTAATTTAAAAAAAAAACAAGTGAAACACTCATACGGAGATGATGAAGAAACAAACAAACAAAACACATAATTTATAAATACTAAGATAAGGGGAAAACATTCGGGTGATCGTCGGTATTTTTCGCGTCGCGTTTTTCAAACCAATTGTAAAATTGTAACAAAAGTAAATATAAACAAACAAATGAGATATATCGCGAATTTATCAAAACAAACACACAAAAAAATGAATATACAGGATTCGTCCCCAAAATCCTTCGGTTCGTCGCGCGTACATTTAATTTTACCGACCTTTTTAGCATTAGAACATTTTGAACATTTTTTTTGTCTTATATTTTTTCTTTTCTGTAATTTATCTATTAATCTAATTAACTACTAAAACGAATTGAACGGTGGTGACAAAACAAGCAGAATAGATTTAAAGGAAAAATGAAGAAGGAAAAAAAACAGAGAAACTTTTAAAAAAGAATGTTATGCGAATAGGTGTTATTTAAAACGAATTTAGTTGTTTAAGTTTAATTTAACTGAAAAAAAGAAGAAGATGAAATCAACTCTGAGATACAACAACAGCAACATAAAGTGAATCCAATTAACGGTTAGGGAAAATATAATGGAAGAAAACCACACAATTTATACAATTCAGGAGATTTTTTTTTATATGTTGATGAGCAAAAAAACAAAACAAAAACAAACGAGAGTAGTAGTTGTAATTGCAGTTCAAGTGTCAAATAATAGATGAATTATTAAACAAGCAGCCAAAAAGAAACAAACGATTCAAATCATACAAAAACCACACACAACAACTCACACTCACACCGATAGAACATCATGTCAATGTTTTAAACAAAAATTGCACTAAATGAAATACAAACACATAGAAGAATCTATGTGGTGGCCCAACATGCTCCGGTGCACCATACGACTTAATTCGGGACGCAACTCCACACAAAAAAAAATGCGATTCCAAATGGTTGAGTTACAAAGAGAAGGGAAGTGGGCTTGATGTCGACTTTTCTTCCATATGTGTAGATCAACTTTGGAAGTGTGATTAAAAAATGCCAAGCATTTGAATATGTGGAGTACGACCTCTCTCTCGCCATCGTCAAGCCGATCATCTATTTGGTGCGGGCCAAACAAAAAAGATTAAGACCATTGTCTAGAATTTATTCAAAGGTGAAAACAACAATGAATATTAACCGTACGTACCTAAAAAAAACTCATACTGTGTTCTTCAGCAAACGCAGTCGCGTCGCGAATAATGAAAAATAAAAATCAAATTTAATCGTTACTATAAACAAGAAGATAAGATGAAAAACAAATGCTAATAAACACTAATAACAAATTTCGGGTGATTTTTATCGTATAACTCCTAATTTCTTGTGTATTTATTATTATCTGCTCGATGATTTATTCTCCCTCGATTTCAAATTTTTTTTTTTGCTAGAAATTTCAAAAAAAAAAAAAGGTATTATAAAAAGGAAAGAAAAAAAAAACGAAACACACAGACACATAGTGAACGAAAAGGAAAAGAAATTCTCATTTAAATAGTGAATGAATGTGGCCAGTGCATGAATGTGTTATGTAAATATTGTAGCTCTTCTATTTAAAGAAACAAAAAAAAACAACAAAAACAAAGAAAAAATTACACAAAAAACTGAGGGAAACAAAACATGAACTATTTATAAAATGCTTCAAATAAAGAAAAGAGAAAAAAATATATAACAAAAAACCTGCATGTAAGAAGAAGATCTACTTGAAATTGAACTTGTATTCGATTCAACAATTGATCGTAATTTTCGCCATTTTCATTCATTTTACTTGAGATCAACAACAACAACAACACTTGAAATTGATCGGTTGAATTGATGGAATGTGAGAAAAAAAAACGAAACATGGCTAGAAATTATTATTACACTAAAGTCGATAGTAAATTGATTTAAAAAAATTGATACAAAAATCCTCTTCCCTCCGTTTTACTGTCCAATTTTCAAAATCCGATTTCTTGGGAATGTCAACGAATGAAATTTTTTTTTAATCGCCATTATTTTTGCTAGCATTTTTTTCTTCTTTTTTTCATATGTGATCCTTTCATTGCTGTTTCACTTAATGACGACGAATCACAGTGATTCAGAATACATTTTTCACAATTTAACCCCACCAAATGTGTCATTGTGCGCGAATCAAATCACAAACGATTCAATCGCTGACATTTTCGGAACAAAATTTAAGCATAAAAGAAATTTCAATGGAGAAAAAGAGTAAAACATTCAAATTGGTAACAATGTAAACAATACAAAACCTAAATTGAAATGAAAAGTAACATATAATGTGTAATAATCCAGTAGTGGACTTTGTAGCTCATCATCATCATCATCTCTAGCAAAGCTATACATCGTAGTATAAAATCAATCTTGTGCGCATTCGGAACATGTGAAGAAAACAAAATTTAAATAAAATTGAACCATTGGTTAATCAACTAAATCATGAACGACTTGTCGTTCAATAACACCATCCCCCCCTCATCTAATTGGAAATACAACAAAGAAATAAAAACGAACCAACTCAAAACAGTCCATCAACAAATTCCATTTTCAAAATATGGAAAATTCACGAATTATCAAGTATTTTTGGAATTGGAACATTGATGTTTATTGTAATTTAAGCATTGTAGCTTAACAAACTCAGAATAAAAGAAAAACCACAAGTTCAATGGCAAATAAAAATCACAACGGCGTTTCATTTTTTCAAGTTGAACAACAATTATTCCAGGTCTCCTTATCTGTTGACGTGATATGGTGACCGGTCATATTTCCCGCAGTCATAACTTCCCCCATACAAAGTGAATGGAGAATTTATGGCCGAAATATAGGGGAAAATAATTCCATTTCAAATTTGGACATAACTTCCCCGAAAAAAGTGAGTAAAGACAATCATCAACAGAATTAAACGGTTAAATTTTAATCACTTGCTTTCTTTTATTAATAAATTGAATAAAAAAACCAAAACTTTGCAATAAATAACAATAATGCAATGGATGTTGGCAAGAATTGAATCATAAAACTACGGAATAAATCAAGTGTTTAATCTTTATTCTCTGCTAAAAAGCTGCTTTAGCATGAATGTTCGCAAAACTGAGGAAAAAATTGAATGTGAGATACCAATTCGTATGAGAAACATAAAAGTTGGCTGAAAATGTTGTATTTCAGCTAATTAATCATATTTCAAAAGACCAAATGGATCCAATGCTTGAAAAAACAATATTCATGTATTTTTTCTAGCGATTTCAACACAAATAATTGTTTGTCAACACGGAGATATGTTGCTATTGCACGCCAAAAGCTTGATGAATTACGAAAGATTCTAATTAAGCCGAAATCCGTCTTCTTGTATGCCCATTTTGTCGCCAAATAAGCTTCTTCATCGACGTACAACTTGATCTTCTTTGCATTTGCCAATTTCTGACGTATCCTTTTCAGCGCTGGCAAATCAATAATTTTGGTGGTTTCGTTGAAGTAATCTCCTCTTTCGAAGAAAAAACGGTTGTTACGGTTGTAATGTAAATTGTTTCTATGTTGGCTGCTCGACTAAAGAGTGGTGCAATTCGATCAAAACTGACTTTACCAAATACAATCTGTTTAAGTTTGGTGAGATTATTTGCAGAAGCTTCCATGTCATTGAATAGAAAACCATATGCTCAATATGAAGCTCTCCAAGGTTTTCCAAATCAGGAAAGTTGAATTCTTTGACAATAAATCGCAGTTCAAGGAATACATAAAGTAGATTTAGAATTGTCAACGCTTCTTGCCTCGCTGTACTCGAAAAGTTCAATTGCAATCTTTTGTACACTCTGCGCCTCTGGAGTTTTTTCAGACGGATGCATAAGCAAATATAATTGTATTCATCAGTACACCATTGGTTTTTCCCAAGTATATCAATCTCCAAGACGTCCAAGGAAACTTTAGTGGTCATCATCGAATATTGATTTTCCGAAAGACATTCCACGTTGATTGTAAATTTGCGTATGTTTGAATTAAGCTCCAAGAAAGTCGTTAAACCGTCACAGGTGTTGGATAACATCCACTCTAGATGTTCCGAATTTGGATATTTCTGATTCATCCAATCGGTCCCGACACATATGCTTTGTTTTCTTAACAGCTTCAGGTTTGGACAGTGAGCGAGCAAGTTTTCGTGGAAATTTCCATTGAAAATCCCTCCATATATTTCCAAGATTTCAACCTTTCTCAAAGTCGCCTTCATGCGCTCGATCTTAG